TATTCGAGTATAATTTTTGAATACTTGTATACGCTACTGTATATTATAGCGACCATGTTTGTTATTATTATTTATGGTTTCGGCATGTCTTTTGACCTTGTTCAAAGGGGTCCCTGTGATTGGCTCGCAATTAGGAATATAATAGGAATGCCAAACTCAAGAGCACCATTAATGTGAATCATTGACAACTGAACCGCCGCCCCGCGGGAGACCTGTGACCGGCATTCGGGCAGACCGGGGGGAGAGCAGTTACTCGTTGGGAGATGGCAGGTGCGGCGATCGCTGATCGGCCTAGCCGCCAGAAGCCCCCACCACCCCCAGCGAATTCAAGCTTCACGCGGGGTTTCTGCCGCCTCCGAGCTCATCGATCAGCTGACCAGGTCCACCACCATGTCTCCCGACCACTGCACACGCGCAGACCATCCCTGCCGAAGTGCCGAACGCTGCTTCCTGGCTTCCTGCTTCGTTCGCCAAATCGCGGGCTTGCGTGTTGCGATACAGCAGCTGTAGGAGCAGTATCTCACAGTCGCAGCAAAGGCCAAACGCATCGCATGTGCACGCATCTCGCTTTCCCTCCTGCAACCCGCTGGTACCGGTGCAAGTACAAGTACAGGTGCCCTCAGCCACACATGCTACACAGGCACACAGCTCTACAGTGCTACAGTACATGGAATGAATGGCTGGCGGTGGCGGGAGACAGATGCCTGTGTTTTGACTGGATCACGAGGGAGTCAAGCATGGCGGCAGGACCTGCCGTGCCGCAGTAAATACTTACCTTCGTTTATGTTTACTTATCAGCAATTTTTTACTGTAGTAAATTTGATTATCTATTTTTTTTTAAAAAAAAATCTTAGATACTTCAATGTATATAACACTAACGAAGTATGTTCCATAAAAATTATATATATGAAAATTTAATGTATCTAAAAATCTTTTGTAAAAAAAAAAACGTATGATCAAATTTGCTATAGTAAAAAATTGCTGATAAGACAACTTAAAAAACAAAGTTAGTACACTAACACTGCACTCCAAGTCTCTGAACGATGGCAGGGGAGCAGAGGAAAGGGACAGGGGTTGAGCGACAGCACCGAAAAATATCCAAGGTTATATTTAGTTCCTCTCAAATTCTCAACTTTAATATTACGAAAAAGAAGATTATCTGTTACATTAAATTTGTGATACATGTATAGAGTACTAAATATTGACGAAATAAAAAATTAATTGCACAGTTTGATTGTACTTTGCGAGACGAACGTTTTGAGCCTAATTAGTCAACGATTGAATAATTATTATCAAATAAAAACAAATACTACTGTAGCTACATGGCCCAACCCCCAACCGCTCATGCGATTCGGGTCCCATTCGGGTGAACTGAACATGGCCCAACCCCCAACCGCTCATGCGATGCGTGGAAAACTGCGCGTGGGCCGGGGATGGCTCGCGCTCGCGCGCGCGCCGAGCTTTCCCGCGCGCTACCGGCCGGGCTATTCAGGTCGGTAACCCGGGACGACGCGGTGGCAGCGGGCGTCGGCAGCCCGGTGGTCGGCAGTAGCCAGTAGGCACGCCGGGGTGACGGCATTGGCCGCGGCCGCTGCCGCTGCAGGAGCTATCGCTGAGCAGCGGCTCAGCCGCTGGCCAACGCCCAGGCAACGCAGCTCCATCGGCAGGGGGCACTGCTGCATGCTTGCTCTGAAGTCATAAACCAGCTTGAATGCCACTGCAACGCATGACAGTTTTACACTTTTACCTCGGCCCCTCATACCGTACGTCATACTGACAGCGTGGTAGTAGCAGCCTCAGTGAGCCACTCGATCTCTCGGTTAAAAGTCTTTACTCATTGATTACTCACACGTACTGCATGGTGAGGTAGGTTTCCGTGGTCCTGCCAAGACCACCCAACAATTGAAACCCTGCGACTGATCGATCAAAGTGAAGTGAAACCCTGCGACTGTGTGCCAGGCACGGTACAACTGCATCATGCTACGCAACTCAGTGTGTACGAGAACATTAATGGAAGAATGAACCGGGCAGGCCCATGGAAATGGAACGGGCATTATATATTGGTACACGAACAGTACTTTACTTCGTCAGTACTTCTCAGACTCAGTCACGTTCTTCAGCGCTACTTCATCTCCATGTGTACTTTTCAGTGAACAAAACAGTATTTTCCTTTTACGATAAATCAACGTAAGTCAAATTTTGGCGAAACGAACAGGACGGTAAACCTGACTTTATTAGAAACAGAAACTCCAATATGGAGAGATACAAGATGACAAGAACAAGCGCGTGCCTAAGAATAGTTACATCACGATCGACTCTACTTCAGTCGATTTTGCCGAACAACAAGATCATCACAGACTCTAGTAATGATACGGCGGCTTGAAGAAGGCTCACTTCTGAAGATCTCAGCATTCGTAGCATCCCAAATCCGCCAAAGAATAGCAAGAAACACAAATGGTCAGAGTTTTGCATCCAGGTGAGAGTGACTGAGTGAGGGCATCCAGTTTATATGTTTTAACCTTTTTAGTATATAATCTTTGCTATGTACTTAAATATACAATATAAACTATATATCTAGAAAAGATAAATATCTTAATTTAGAACGAATGAAGTATATATTCCTGATCGCTGGTTATAGTTAGCAGTCGCAATCAATCTAGAGACAGCGGTGTGATGTGCGGAATATTGCAGCAACTGGAAGAGGTCTGGAACACCAATACACCATGCCTCACCGAACGAGAATCCCAGACGGACCACTTCCGCATCCCAGATGGACCACAACGCGTGACACGAAGTACTACGTGCACGGAAACTCCTTTACGCCTAGCTGGAACCTTTGGCAGAAATGGGCAGAACGGTTACAACAACGTTGGATGAGCAGTACTGCAGGAGCCAAGGAGAAATTATTTTGCACGGCGAGCTCTCTGTCTTTTTCCCCCTTCCATCTTTTTCGGCGTGCCAGCCCACTAGACCTCCGCCTCGCCGACCCCTGCTGTCCTGGTCACGTCCGCGCGTGCTCGCCACAGCCACGCCTCCGCCGCTCGCCAGCGCGAGCTGACCCACCGCGGCTCTGCCTGGGCGCGCCACAGCCATCGACGCGAAGAAAGGTGCGGCGAGGAGACGAAGGGAATGGGAGAGTTGGTGGCCCCACATAGTAAAATATCACATTAAGAACAGTAGAAGAGACTATATATTATTGTCAGAAATGCTATACATGCCAAGCCGGAGACTTCCACGTATGCGCGTATGCGAACGCGAATCTGACGCGAACGTGAATATGACTACCCATGACGCGACGGCCAGGGCCCCACGACGCATGACGCGAACGCGAATCTGACAACCCATGACGAACGCGCATGGAATGGAGCCAACCGCTCTGTAATCTGTTCTTTCATAGAAAAAAAAAATATTTTCTATAATATATGATTTGTGATATGTGGATCTGTGATTTTATAATTATCTAAAGATAGAAAAAAGCTAGAAGTAGAAAAAAGATGGAGGTTGTTGGATCTTAAATCTTATGGTGCAAAAAATTCATGTGTTAGAATTATATAAAACATATGGTTGTGCAATAGATATTGTTGTTGTACCACTTGTCTACTATGTTAGTCTATTGATTGATCTGGCTTGGCTTATAGCTAAGTTTATTAGGCTTTTACTATTTTCAAAATTACTGCCACCCGCACACGTCAACAAGCTTGAAAAGGTAAAAGTAGGAATGTTCGTCGTGCTACTGCCTCCCGTCAAAAAAAATGCAACTATGTATTGTGTGTCACGTTTAATCAATTTTTTTGTAAATAATATTAACAGTTATGTCTTTAAATTAATTTATTATGAAAACACATTTCGTAATTAATCTGATAGTATTTATTTAATATCATAAATATAGATACTTTTTTATTTATAATTGATCAAACTTAAGGTACTAAAACGTGACACTGATTTGCATTTTTAGACAAAGGTAGTACTATTTATTACTCAATTAATTGAAAAGCACGCTAGAGCTCAGCCTATCCGCACTCGTCGATCTCTATTTCCATCTCTAAAAAGAAATATTCTGTCATAGTCATCGAGATTCTCTACTCTATATCTATTTCTTTTATACCCATGTTATCTTTATCACATACTCTATACCAATTACTCCATATTTTATTCTCCTCCCTCCCCTTTCCCTCTCTCCAACTCTCTCTCTCTCCGCTGCAGTACATTTAGCGTGCGCACAGTGGTTCTCCAGGAGTAGCGTTCGACCGGCCGGCCGATTGCGTAGCGCGCGGTTTCCAGGCGAGCGGTGCGGGCTTTAGCGGTGCGGCCGCGGCGTAGCGCATGCTTTAGAGGCGAGCGGTGCGGACAGCCTCAGCCCTTGAGCAGCTGACTGCCAAATTAAGACCATGTGGCAGGTTCTTTTCCCCCTGTTTTTTTTTCTTGTTAAGATAAGAATCATCGGAATCAGACTAGAAACTGATCCATCTGTTGTTTTTTTTATCTAGAAGCAAGAATCAACAGGATCCTACTGTAGCTTCTAGTTTCCCAAGGAACGTTTCTTGATAGGCTAGAAACAGTCTATTCGGTTGGCTGGTTTATATCATTGCTGGTTCGTTTATGTGAGAGAAAAGTACTGCTAGCTAATTCATATAAATAATGTTCATATGAGAGGGCTGATCAGCCCGGTCAGCCAGCTAGCTCCAGCCGAACACGCTGATAAACAACTGAACAACTGAAACCCCGGGTTAGCGGGAAAAGGAGCAACAGCAACTGTCCCTTTTTTTAATTAATAAGCAGCTCTGCCATTTTTGCAACTGGTCCTCTATAAATAGGGACGGGGTGGCGTCCAAGACACATTCGAGGCGACAGACATCGTCGTCCCAGCCTCCCAGAGTCCCAGGACAGAGCCACAGACTCTCTCCCCGGCCACCTCTCGCTCACGGTCACGAGCACCCCACCTCAGAGCTAGCGGCAGCAGCGCTCTTCCTGGGCATGGGTGCTCCGCTGGCCTCCTGGCCATGGGCAAGCCTCGGCTCCTACAAGGCAAGCAAGCACTGCCTGTCTGTCTAATCATACCGGCCGATTCATCTGCTGCGCCCGCCATTGCTGTTAGCTTGACGCTAGCTCTTGCTCATCATCATCTATCGGTATGATGATAGACGATGTACGCAGCAGATTACTGATCTTGGTTTGCTTGCTTGTTTGTTTCGACGGCCGCGTGTGCATGTGCAGTACCTGCTGTACGGGCCTCTGGTGGCGAAGGTGGCGCAGGCGTGGAGGGAGACGGGGAGCCTGCCGCTGGGGTCGTCGTGGTGCCTCCACCTGCTGCTCCTCCTGGCGCTCCGCTCGCTCACCTTCCAGCTCTGGTTCTCCTACGGCAACATGCTCTTCTTCACCCGCCGCCGCCGCGTCGTCAAGGACGGCGTCGACTTCCGCCAGATCGACGCCGAGTGGGACTGGTAAGCATGCATGCATATGTGCAGAGCATATACGACGTGGTACTCTCCCTCCGCTTGCTGCCGGCCGGCTTCCTTCCGGCATGCCTGCTCCTGACCCTGCTCCTGACCGAGCTCGCTAGCTAGACAGAGCTCCTGCTAATGAACGTTCCAAAAAAAAATCACTTCAAAGTTTTGTTTTCCATATAATAAGACGATTGAAAGTTGAACCTCACGTTTTCTGGAGCACGGCTGTACATGAAAGAATTAATTTTACTGAGAACATGACGTATTGAGATGGCTGTAGATTCAAATCGAAGTACGCAGTACAATCATAGAGTCAAGTTCATGTCCTTTTCGTCTTTTGATTTTTGATTTTGGTTTCAAGTTTGAAGAACAAAAACGGGTGTCTGAGAGTTAATTGGCCGAACAGAAATAGTAAGAAATTAGTGCTAGCGCTAGTACTAGTGCACGGGCGGATCAGGCCGGGCGTCCATACGTGGCGTGAGCCATTAGCGGAGCCAAGATAGCACCTCGGGGCTAATCAATAGAGATTTAAAATAAATATCGAAGATTAATAATGAAATCATGTTTTTTTCTACCGTAAATATAAACCCCCTAGCTAGCCCCCCGTGGATCCGCCACTGGCGTGAGCGCATAGTTCCCGCCTGTTCACTTTCTTTATAAAGGACGACGGGCCGGCGGCCTGGGGGGCATCATTCACGCCGGGGCAGTAAATGTGCAGTGTGCAGTAACTATTTTCAATCCTCATCAGCTGCTTGCTTTGCTCATTCCAGGCAGTAATTACAATGTCTAATAATGTGGTACGTACGTAATGGCTCCTTGTTGTTGGGGCTGGAGCTGACTGAACGTACGTGCATACGCAGGGATAACATGGTGATCCTGCAAACCCTAATCGCGGCGACGGCGATGGGCAGCCCGGCGTTCCCGGGCGTGTCGGAGCTCCGGGTGTGGGACCCGCGCGGGTGGGGCCTGGCCTTGCTCCTGCACGTGACCATCTCGGAGCCAGTCTTCTACTGGGCCCACAGGGCGCTGCACCGGGGCCCGCTCTTCAGACAGTACCACGCAAAGCACCACTCGTCCCCCGTCACGCAGCCGCTCACGGGTACGTGGCCGTGCCACCATTCTTTTCTTTGATGATGAATGAAAAAGACCAAGAGAAAGAAAAAAATCTGGTCGTCGTCGTCCTGTTTGTGTGAATTAATGCGTGTGCACTTCCGCAGCCGGGTTCGGCACGCCGCTGGAGGCGCTGCTCCTGACGCTGGCGATGGGGGCCCCGCTGGCGGGCGCGTTCCTGGCGGGCGCCGGGTCCGTGAGCCTGGTCTACGGCTACGTCCTCCTCTTCGACTACCTCCGGTGCATGGGGTACAGCAACGTGGAGGTCATCTCCCACAAGGCCTTCGCCGCCTTCCCGCCGCTCAGATACCTCATCTACACCGCCACGTAAGCCACCCACCCACCCACTGTACTCACCAAAGGCTGGCTTAGCGTACGTACAGCATGTTGTCTTTTGTTTCTGTCATGACATCTATATCTGCCTATAATATGATATGATCTGATCCTAGTAGTACGTATACGTACGTATAACATGATGATGAGGAGTCGAGTATGTACATGGGTCCAAACGTACGGCGCGTACGTAGGGAAATTCGTAGAGCAACGAGCGAGAGCCTGTGTTGTTTTCCATTTCCGCGGTGCATGATTGCATACACTAGCTGGACTGACCTACTACATGCGTAGCTAGGCAGCTAGCTTCCGTGTCTGTCTGCCTGTCTAGTACCACTACCCTATCGTGTGCTAGGCCTTGTTTAGATACTCTCAAAATTTCAGAGTGCGTGATTTTGGACACGTGTATGGATCATTAAATATAGATAAAAAAAAAAATAACTAATTTACATGCGAATCTTTTGAGCCTAGTTAGCCCATGATCGGACAAAGTTTGTCAAATACAGACGAAACGTGCTACAGTGTCCAGATTATAAAAATTTGCAATCTAAACAAAGCCCTAGTGCAGATACCACATGCATGGTAGCAGTACACGTACACCTATAATAGCTAGTGCTGTATAGGCTGGCTTTTGCACACGTACGTACCCTCGTGCAGTGCAGAATGTCTATCTAGTAGTACTCGGTGCAAGTGCGCATGATGCTAGCTGGTCGTGATTGGCAACGCCGTCCCACGACGACCAACACACAAAAGACGTACGCTACGGAGGACCGAGTACATACTAAAACCGGTCACAGGACCCAAGCATGAGCCAGTCAACCAGCGCCAGAGGAGACGAGATTCATGAGATGAGATGAGATGATGTTGCATGCATGCCAACCTTCCTTCCAACCACCCAATTGATGGGTTGCGCTAGCTTTCCTAGTTTAGATTCCAACCACCCACTTTCGTCTTATTTGGTAAATTGATGGGTTGATCAACTAAGCTCAAAAGATTCATCTCGTGATTTCCAACTCTGTGCAATTAGTTATCAATACAAATTTAAAAATTAATGTGATGGAGAGAGAGCTACTATCTAAGCAAGGCCCCAATAATCAATACCCTACTACTCCCAAACAGCCGAACCTCAGACAGTCAGACATGCCTGCATTTAGACCAGGCCAGAGTGCACGCACGCACGCACTTTCCTTTGCGTGTGCAGCGCGCACGCATCTTGCAAACTAAAACAATCGTGTTGTTACGTACGTACTACATGCCACCAACTTAAAAGTTACTGTACTAGTTCACGAGACTTTGAGCATGTGGTCGTGTGGGGACATGCAGTACGACTCCTAATATCGTCTATGCATGCTGCATGCATGGCGTTTCTCGAGCGAGTCCACCGCTGACACGGCCTGGCCGATTTTGATGTCATTTATTTGAGCCCTTTTGCATTGTCTAGGTGCCCACACACACAAACGCACAGGCACAGCATTGCCACTGCCAGCCATGCATGGCTAATGACCAGAATAATCAAACATAAACCACTGATTGAGTACTCCTACGTACGTTCAGATCTCGTCGGATCGGATCATAGCCGCTGCCTGGGCGCTGTGTTCTGATGAGAATGTTCCTGTTCATCTCGCTGCACACCTGCTCGGCTGCACTCGCAATCTCAAATGGATGTCCTGTAACTCCACGGTCCACCCCTCACTCACAGTACGTCAAAGACCACACAGATCGAGCAGGATGCCGCGCGCGGGGCCCACATGCGCACTCGCAGTCTCGCACAGATGACCAGCAGCAGCCATCCGATCGGTGGGAATCATCAAAGCTCCTGGCGACGACAGGGCCGTACGCATGTGCCGCCGGCCGCGGCGCCGGTGCTGGCTTGCATTACTGTCCGTGCCACCTATGCGGCACATGTCCCTCTTGATTGCTGCTGGAGCTAACGATGCCACTGGATAACCAGTGTCCGTACCCATGCTGTTTGGGGTTTGGGAAGGGTATGGATTATCCATTTGATTGTGGGTATGGGTAGGATAATAGAGGTATTAACCATTTAATCTATATATATGCTCCGGCTGCAGAGCTCAGTGGAGCTCATCGCCTCTGCCTAGAAGCGGAAGGTGAGAGAGGGACGTGTGACTGTAGAGGTCGTCCATGGCCACTTCACAACCGCACATGGAGGAGGCGCGTACACCAAGCACGGCCTGCTGTCCACATGCTCGGCCATGGGCGGCGGCAGCATCGTCATGCAGAAGCTCGCTCCCCCGTCATACTCATGGCGGTCATGGCCACTTCACCTCGGTGCCCGTGCCCCAGCAGCCGTGTAGCTCGACCCGCCGATGCCCTCCAACCAATCCGCGGTGACTGCGCACGGGAGCGAACGAGCGCCTACAGGCTGCAGCACCGACCGGGGCTGTGATCGCAGCCGTGCCGGCGGAGGGCGATGCTCCTGCTGGCAAACGAGAGTTACCTGTCGACGGGGGAAGGAAGAAACGATCCCAGCAAAAGTCTCTTACCTATTGGATAATCCACACCCAATGGACATTACCCTTATGGGTAATCGAGGATGGATAATTAACGGATATGGGTACGGGTGACCCCGAAGCTTCCCCACCGGCATCGTTAGCTGGAGCCTATCCTAGCTGCAGCCTGCCGGCAGGCAGGGCCGGCGAGCCGCCGGGCGCCGGCCATGTGCATGAGGTGCGCCCGTCCTGTTCCTGTAGCCGTAGCCGGCTGGCTTGCCTTTATGGCGATGCCGACCGCCGACCGACCGGACAAGTGCCGCGCGGGCAGGGCAGGCCCAAACGGGGTCGGCATCAGCAACGGCAATCAATGATCCTCGTACAGCACCGGGAGGTAGCCGGCCCGGGAGGGGATGGGCCGGGTTACCACTGGTCCTCGTATATATATGAGTTGTGTCCTTCGCATTGTTGCTCAAGATCAAGATCCAAAAAGACCTTATGTATGAGAACAAGGAGACATGCAGCATAAACGGATGATTGCATTCGTGCATGGACTGGGCAACGGTCTTGCATGCCGCAACCGCTGTAAATTTGAAAACATTTTTTTTTGTGTGTTATTAGTGTTAGATGGCTGATCAATGCCGTCCTTTCTATGTGCTGTGGTGATTAACTTGCAGGTATTTAAGCCTGCACCACAGGGAGAAGGACTGCAATTTCTGCCTGTTTATGCCTCTGTACGACGCCCTCGGAGGGACCATCAACTCCGAATCGTGGGAGCTTCAGAAACAGGTCGACCAAGGTACTACTCCAGATTTGGTGCTAGTTGATGTCTTGATCGATGATGATGCTACTCATCATGCATGCATGGGATCATCTAGTAATTCACCGTTATTGGTTAATTTGAAAATCGATTTCACTGGTAGTAGTAATTTATAATGACGAAGCAAAGAACTGATGACTGGTTGCTTGCGAATAGGCATGAACGACCGGGTGCCGGACTTCGTGTTCCTGGCGCACGTCGTGGACGTGGTGTCGTCGATGCACGTGCCGTTCGCGTTCCGGTCCTGCAGCTCGCTGCCGTGGGCCACGCACCCGGTGCTGCTCCCGCTCTGGCCCGTCGCCTTCGGCTTCATGCTCCTCCAGTGGTTCTTCTCCAAGACCTTCACCGTCAGCTTCTACTTCCTCCGAGGCCGGCTCCACCAGACGTGGAGCGTCCCCAGATATGGCTTCCAGGTCACCACCGCCAGTCCGAACTGATTGAATCCGATCGATCCTATACACTTCCTGTTGTGTTGATGACCGGGAAACTGATTGCATGATGCGTCTCTCTTTGTTGTCGCTGTCGCACTGCAGTACTTCATCCCGTCGGCGAAGAAGGGCATCAACCGCCAGATCGAGCTCGCCATCCTGAGGGCAGACAAGATGGGCGTCAAAGTCATCAGCCTTGCTGCACTGAACAAGGTCGATCGTCTCCAGCATCTGTTGATTTCAGAACAGTAATATCTGGGCATGCACAAGCAGTGGATAAGAAAAAATGGACCAGAACTAACCATCCAACATCGTATTCGATCTTCTCCCTTTATCTGCAGAACGAGGCTCTCAACGGCGGCGGCACGCTGTTCGTGAGCAAGCACCCGAACCTGAGGGTGAGGGTGGTGCACGGCAACACCCTGACGGCGGCTGTGATCCTCAACGAGATCCCCAGCAACGTGAGGGAGGTGTTCCTCACCGGCGCCACGTCCAAGCTCGGCAGGGCCATCGCGCTCTACCTCTGCAGGAAGAAGATCAGGGTCTTGGTACGTACGTGCATTCTGAAACAAGTACTAGTATGCATGCAATTAATGACTGAACTTGGATTACAATTCATAATAATGCTGCTCTGAAACAAAACAAATAAGTAACAAAGATGGAATGCCCTGTGTTTCAGATGCTGACGCTTTCGACGGAGAGGTTCCTGAAGATCCAGAGGGAGGCGCCGTCAGAGTTCCAGCAGTACCTCGTGCAGGTCACCAAGTATCAGGCGGCGCAGGGCTGCAAGGTACGTAGGAGTACTAGCTGAAAGCGTTCTTTCATGGCATGTGTGATACGTACTGACACCGGTGCACCGTGTCTGCAATGCATGGCAGACATGGATCGTGGGCAAGTGGCTGTCGCTGCGGGAGCAGCGGTGGGCGCCGCCGAGCACGCACTTCCACCAGTTCGTGGTGCCGCCCATCATCGGCTTCCGCCGGGACTGCACCTACGGCAAGCTGGCCGCCATGAGGCTGCCCAAGGACGTGCAGGGCCTCGGCTCCTGCGAGTACACGATGGAGCGCGGGGTGGTGCACGCGTGCCACGCCGGCGGCGTGGTGCACTGCCTGGAAGGGTGGGAGCACCACGAGGTGGGCGCCATCGACGTGGACCGGATCGACGTCGTGTGGAAGGCGGCGCTCAAGCACGGGCTCACGCCGGCGTGAGCGGCCGGCCGGGACGGCCCACCGGAAATAACGCGTCATCTATTCGTTGTCGCAGCAGGGCTGTTGCGACGGGTGGGTGTGTTACCGCCGTGTACTACCTACCATCTAGCTACCAATTACCATAGTGCAATGCAGCAGAGTTTGATATAGGCTGGTTCGCATATACCAATACTTGTATGTATGTACGTACGAATACTGCAATATGGCCCGAGGCATGGACTTGCGTTCCTTGCGGCCTGGCCTGCGACTTCAGAAATCAAGTCGGTCTGTACTGTCCATTGGGCTCTCGATCAGGTGACGTTGGCTAGTCCACACGGCCCACACCAGAACAGCTTTCATGTCTATTCTCTCTCTATCCGAACTCTGATGTAGAAAAAAAGTTAATTATAAATCAGGTCAATGTTATACTATTTTAAGATTAACTAAGTTTATTGAAAATAGTATCAACAGTCTTCATGATTCCAAATATGCAAAATATGCTCAAGCAACACTCTTGACTTTTTTCACCGATCAACAAATGCTACATACTAGCTCTTCCTTGTGCCATCTTCTTCATTTCTGACGAGGTCTCTGGTGGTTTATGGTTCATGTACCCCGGCGGGCTTAGAAAGGAAATGATCTATGGGTGGTAGGCCAGCCTTGAGATTATTGCAGGCGTTGTGGCCGTGGGCTTGGGGCAGCATGGGAGAGGCGACAATGGCGCTGCTAGTCAGGCAGCGGGGAAAGGCGGTTGGATGGGGCAAGAGCAGAGGCGTCAAGGTGATAGCCCAACAAAGCCGGGCTAGCATGGTAGTGGCGAGTGACGAGGAGCCACCAGAGATAGAAAAGGAGAATGGGGTAGGCACAAAAGGGGGGCCTTGAATGAGCACAAAAATGAGACACCAACAATGAGGAAGTGTTCTCGGGCTCCTCGAAGCCCCTCAAAGCCGTAGGGGGAGGCAAGAGTGTTGGAGATGCAGGAGAGAAAAGGATGGTGGCACTGGGAGCTTTGTTATGACCAAAGTGGGCCAGGGCCACCCTTGTCAATGCGATTTTTGCACTAGTTAAACAGTAAAATTAGTAGTGTCCATTGTTCTTTAATTCACAAATTTATGAACTGGTCCTCCCTATTTCTACTATCTTGCTTGAGGTGTTGATCATCCGGATCACCACTTTGCCAAAGTCCAAGCCACTTCTGCACCCTTTGAACTATATCAGAAAACACTAGTAAATAATGTTAGTCTAAATGGTCATGTTGATCATCAAACAACAAAATCCAAACTAAATGGGTCAAGGGTCCATTTTCCTTACAGCCCCGCCTCCTCCCCCCTCTCATCCCCGGCTCCTGTTGATGGAGCTTGACCTTACACCGATTAGGGCTTGATAATGGAAAAGGTCGCCAGCAAGCTTCTTCGCTAGAATAGCAATGGTGGGACGATATCAACATGCGCCCCACGAGCAGGAGCTATCCCCCTCACCCCAAACCCTCCCACCTCGCGAGAAAGGAGAGCACTCGGACTACCATGGGAAACGTGTCTTGATGGCGGGCGACGTACTTGGCTTGAGCCTAGTTGGTGCCTGGGTGCTCGGGGTAGCCTGCGGCCACCTCGCCACATCGTCTACGCCTTCGTTGCAAGAATAAAGGGGAGGTTTCTCACGCTGGTGACGGGCTGGTTTGGTTTGACCGCCGATGACATCAATGCAATACTGGGCGCAACCTGGCTGGTTAGGCTTAGGAGGACGCCCGTGGAGAGGAAGCTGATAAGGTACAAGAAATCACCTGGAGGTGGCGGTTGCCTTAGTAGTGAGGGTGCTCCCCTCGCGAGCCACCTAGCTTGCAGTCGTTCCGGCCGCCGTCGTAGCCCCTGTACCGGAGATCCAGGAGGTAGGGAAGCTCAGATTCGAGCCCATGCACTAGCAGCCCCCACCCGTGGGTGGTACTGGTGGTACTGGTGGTACTAACCAGCACCCCCGAGCCCCCGTGGGACAAATCTAGAGGTGGGGCAGGGGGGCTCAAGCCCCCTACCACCGCTGATCCCATGGAGCCCCCTATAGCCCCTCTAATAATTTTTGCCATGGCTGCTTTGAGGAGGAAAAGCTGGAGGTTGATGATGACGACTTCAGTCCTCTGAACTTTCATTCTAGATCCATCATCATTTCGTGGATGGTATTCGTGGTACAAACAAGTCCCTTCACTCTGTTTTAACTTGGTTTCTCTACTTGTTCTCTATTTGTATATATCTCTTCCGGGTCCTCATGTTCTCGATGAGGACCTGTATTTTTATTCCTTCTCAGTTTATGATTGACTACATAGCCCTGATGTTTAGAGAAATTAGCTTGATGTTATGTAGTTTAATCTTGGACAGTTGTAGCCCTGCTGTGTGGATAAGAGTTTAGTCTTGAATAGCTTAATCTTGGTAATTATATTAGTTTGTATACAATGTTGTTTAGATGTAGTAAAAAAATGACAACGCAAAGAGAAAGATAAATGTCTTTCTCCCTCGTCTATCTTCGTACTCCCCTGCTACCTCTTTCACTATTGTCCCTCGTTTGTTTATGTGGTCCACGCGGGCAAGAGGAATAGGAGTACAGGTACAAGCCAACGAGGGTGAGCAACCGTGTCAATCCGAGCCATTGAGGCCTGAAGGCCATGGTGGCAGGATCCGCCAGGAGCTTGCTACCAGGGATGCAGAGGCAGCGGTGTCGTGGCGACTCCTAGCTCATCATGGTGGCCATAGTTGTCGCAGCTCCTGCGCGGCTTGCGAGGGCGAGATGGCCGGAACAGTAGCGGTGGCGGCGTCATTTGCGTGGTCGGGCATAGTAGCGCGCAGCCCAGGCAGAGGCGGTGGCGCAGTTCGCCGACGCGTGGCTGCAGCGGCTGATGCTGCTAGATGCGAATGAGGTGGGCAAAGCACTGTCTTTTCATGTTGGGAGGGGGTCGAATCTGAAATTAGCAGGCCAGTTGCGGACTCCGGGGTAGTGAGAAACCAGACCCTGGATTTTTTATTATCTCCTTCATAATCTCTACCGTTTGGTTGCCTGTGGATTATTTTTATCCGGATTTTCATCATCCGAAATGGATTCAGACAGGCCTTAATTGATCGCGCTATTAATCTTGGTTTTTGCAGGTTGAAGGTAAAGTATAGTTAGTCTCCTTCCTGTGGGTTGGTTATGTGGTCATTCGGTAGTGTTTGGTTAGGTGTATGGACGTGGGTGGGAATGGATGGAGACAATTTTATTACATCAGATCTGGGTACCATAAATTTGTCATTGATAAAATAGTTGCACATGTAGATAGTTTATCTTTGCATAAGTTTTGCTTAGGTTAGAAATAGATGGCATAGTTAGAATAAGAATTAAGTTGCCTAATTCACCCCTCCTCTTAGACGTCACGATCCATTTAGCCATTAAGGTAGCGTTTAGTTGAGAAACAAGGTGGAGTGGGATGGTCCTGCCTCTGTTTTGTGGGACGGGACGAGTCCATTTTTTGTTTGGTTGAGGAAGAATAGGACCGATCCATTTTTTGTTTGGTTGAGAGACAATAAAAGTGGGATGAACTACTGACATATGGGGCCCACTTTTAATTTTTTTTTCTTTTTCTTTCTTCTCCCTTATCTCCATCATCCCCAACCGCACAGAGATAGAGGTCGCGTGAGCTTGATGAGACGGAGCTCCTGCCTCCTAGCGCTCGGCCCACCCGCGCGCAGAACTTTTCGCCCCCCGCCGTCGCCGCCTGCGCGCGGAGCCTCGCGCCGTTGACGCCGCTCGCGCGAAACCCTCGCGCCGCCGCCCTCCGGCGACCGGATCCCTCGCCCGTGGCCGCGACTGGAGCCTCGCCACCCTCTTCTTCAGCACCGGTGGTCGCTCCGGTGGAAACCCTCGACCTCTTCTTCAGCACCGTCGGGGCTGTAACTCGCCCGCACGACCGCGGGTCCGGAGCTCACTCGCGCAGCGGCGACGGCGCTTGAAGGCTGGCCGTGGTCGGACCTTGCTCCTCCTCTACGCACCTCCTCCTCTCTTCTTCCACACCGGCCTGCAAGCGCCTCGTCCCACTTGGGACGGCCCCCGTCCGAGAAATATGAGGGGACGGAGTGAACCCGAATCTCATGCGAATATTCCCAAGTGGGACGTCCTCGCTCCCGGGAGACTCCCAACCAAACATCAGTCGTCCCAGGACCGCCCCGTTCCATCCCACCTTGTCCATCCATCCAAACACAGCCTAATGATAGGTTCTCATGTTTGGCTAACATGGATTCGAAATTTCTAAACATCATAGCTTCTAGCTTAGAGTTCAGAGTTTAGCTTGACAAAATCTCCCAAACGACCAAACAGTGTCAATTTGATTTAACATGTATTCATCTAAAGCTGATTCGAGCTTCGTAATGTTTTTAATCCACTTCCCTGCAAATGCATTTTTCATCTTCAATCATAAATAAAAATCTTGATTCGAAACTGTTGTCATTTGAGCCGTCTTAGTTCACCTATTGTAGCCTTTATTGACTGAAGGCTCTAAGCCTTCGCTTTGTATATTGATTGTTCCTTTCTTGATTCCTCCTAATATCCAAGTAACTTATCAAAGGACTAAGGTTTTCACGAGCATTTTAGCTTTCTCTAATCAGACGTCTATGTAACTTTCCCATTAGCTTAATTAAGCAATAAGCTTTAGCTTTTCCTTACTCTCAATTTATCTAAACCTTTAGATAGACTAATATGTGCCACTATTTATGCAACAAATTAATAAGATGCAATCTCAACTTTTAGTAACATGTCATTAGAGGTGTCAAAATTATCGTCCTGTTCGCTTGACTTATAATCCGTACTTTTTCAGCCAATGAATAATATTTTTTTTATCACAACAAATCAATCCACGGTACTTTCAACCATGGCTTATCAAATATACATGATTGATTAACAACACCTCTTGTATCATGAATCAATGAACTGACATATCAATGTTCATACAGTTCTTTTCTTCTATCCAATCTTTTACGAGACGAACTTTGCACCATGGTATCTAGCAC